CTCTTGCTGGAGCATTGTCCTCAAGCAGGCACAAAGAGACAAGATTTAGCACACAAATAGAGGGGTAGCCTTAGAAGGGAGCACCTCACCCACAGTGGCAGGGGGGTGCAGAAGCAGGTAGATGTGGGTGAGTACAATGATGGGAGTCTGAGAAAGTTCTGAGTGCCTCTGTTCTCTCAAAGGTTCACAACTGAAAGGGAGGAGGGTGAAGAGAAGATGGGTTGAGGGCAGTAGACTCAGAACTGTAGTGTGAGTGCTGGATGGCACAGGGGCCCCTCTAAATTCCTGGGATTGGGCCTACAGTGAGAACAGTTGGGGTCATGTTTTTTCTCAGACGCCATGGAATAGGTCAAGCACTGGATTTTGTCAAGGTTGGGTTTTGCTAACCAAAAAAGCAGCAGAATGAGGAAAAAGAGTTGGGGTCCTCAAGGCAGGGAGCATTCTGACTTTGACAGGGGCAACATCTATGAACTCTAGCCTGCTCCAGTCCCTGCCTGGCTGATACCTGGAAGCCTACCACCCACTCCCTTTGTGGGTTATGTATGGTCTTCCTCTCCCCTCACTTCAAAATGAGCTTTGCAGACAGTGAGCACCTGGGAAAAGGCTCTCTTCAGCCTCTGCCACCCATTCCTCTGACCTGGAAGGTACCTCAGGCCTAACACACCAAAAAAGGGTTTGCTATCACCCTGCCAAGACACTGAATGGCAGCTCTTCATGCCCATTCTCCTTCATTTCACTAGCCAGACACTGGGACTGTCCCCCTACCTACTAACTTATTCCATGCCCTCCTCATTCTCTCTGTCCCTTCAGCAGCCCTGGACCCAGTTACCAGGTGTCTTAAACTGGACGATGTCACAGCCTCCTGATTGGTCTCTTTTCCACCATGCTGGCCTTGCCAATCCCACTCTTCCTCCTCAGAGTGCCCTCCAGACCTCAAAACTTCCCCTCTGGAAGACCCTTTGGGGGAAAAGTCAGCTGCAGCCCTCACCCCAGGTCAGCTGTGATCTGCGCCCCCTTTACCTTATGCCCACTATTTCCTCACACCTCACTGTCCCTCACTCTTTTCTCAGGGCCTCCCCTCTCTCCTTACCAACAACACCTGCCTGGTACAGCTCATCCATCTCCCACCCTGGGGTCCACAGTGTCTACTGGATCTCTGTTCTCCAGTGTCTGATCTGAAATAGGATTTGGTCATTTTTGCTGGGGCATGGATGACTAGGTGGATGAAGCTTCTGGAGGGCAGGATGTAGGAAGAACAGGATTGAAAGAGGCTGAGGGTCACTCAGCCAAGTGAGCTAAGTTAACAACATCTATTGTAGGATAAGCTAATAGCATGTGACTTGTGACACACTGAAAACAGGACATTACCTATGCTTGCCCAAAAAGGTTTAACCCAAATCTAATCAGGAGTGAGCAAGAAGATAAATCCAGAATGTGCAAGATGCCACAAGACTTCAAAATTGACAATGCCATTTAAAAAACAAACAAAAGAAAAGAAGAAAAAAAACCTTTAAGAATCAGGGGATTAATTCAGATTAAAAGACTTACTATGCTAACCAAATGCAATATATGCTCCTTGACACACACACACAAAGAAAAAATTAATAGCTATAAAGGGCATTACTGAGACAACTCAAGAAACTTGAATATGGACTACATGTTAGGTCAAATTGTATCATTACTAAATTTCTCAGGTATGATAATGGTATTAGTTGTTTGGCAGAAAAATGTCCTTGTGTCAGGAAATTCATGCTGAAGTAATTTTCTTCTTTTTTTTTTTTTTTTTGGTGGTCCTGGGGTTTGAACTCAGGCCTACACCTTGAGCCACTCCACCAGCCCTTTTAGTGTTGGGTATTTTCAAGACAGGTTCTGGTGAACTATTTGCCCAGGACTGGCCTGATCCCTGCCTCCTGAGTAGCAGGATTACAGGCATGGGCCACCGGCACCCAGTTATGCTGGAGTAATTTGAGGTGAAGTGTTATGATGTTTGTGTCTTACTTTTTTTTTTGTTTTGTTTTGGTGATACTGGGGTTTGAACTCAGGCTTCATGCTTGCTAAACAGGTGGTCTACCACTTGAGCCACATATCCAGACTACAACTTACATTCAAAAGATTGAGAGAAAATGCAGGGGGGTGAGGGATAAAAGAGAATGAAGGAGGGGGTGAATTCAAGTGTGATGTATTTGATATATTGTAAGAACTTTTATAAATGCCACAATGTATCCCATACACAACAATTTAAAAAAAAGGTTGAGAGAAAGAGGGAGAAACAAATGTGGCAAAGTATTAACATGGGCAAATGTAAGTCCCTAGGTGAAGAGGGTAGAGGTGGGTATTCACTACACTATCAAGCATGACAAGACAGAAAGTACGAGGCGGTGCAGGGAGATGCTCCAAAGAGGGCTGCTGAGGACTGGGCTTGCAGGACAGGAGGGTCCTCTGCCTCCAAGCAGCACAGGCAAGCACAGCCCTGGAGCGACTAATCCCCTAAAGGGGCCAGATCCCCCGGAGTAGCCTCTCTGGGAGTCAACCTGCCTGGGGATAAGGGCTCTAAGGGAGCAGCCAGTCCCCAGGGAGATGAGCAGAGCAGCTCTCAGTCAGGGCACGTGGGCCCCACCCCACCTCTGCGGAGCTATGGCAAGGAGCCAGGTCTGGCCTTAGGCCCACCCCACCTCCAAACACTCCTCAAGGGGCGACAGCCTGAGTGTATCCTCCTGTGAGAGGAGCCAGGCTAAATATGGAGCCCCAGACATAAGACACCGCTCAAAACAGATTTTCCTGGAAAAGACCATCTGGCAAAGGAGGGCTAGATCATCGTCTGTCGAGAGAAGCAGTGTCGATCTATTGCAAGCAAATGTCCGGAATGGGAATGCCTTCATCCTATCTCCCTAAGAGACCCCAGAGTAGGGCCTCGGTTTCCCCCCAGGTTACTCCTTTGCCCAGATGAAGAGACACTCAAGCCCATCTCTCTCCTAAGCTGTAACTCCAGGAAAGCAGAAGATGAGCCTGGGGCCCAGGTCTAAGCCTGAGAAATCTCTGCCTGGGTATAAGTCCTGACTCTGCCACTTACTATCCAGGCAACTGTGACAAGACAACAGCGCTGTGAGCTCCAGCATCCTCTTCCACACAACAGGAGTAATGGTACTCCTCCCTCTAAAGGCTGTTATGTGTCACAGTACCCAACATAGTGGTGGTGCTCCACAGATGGAAGATGGGTGGGGTGATGTCCCAGCCCTTCTCTCTCAGTCCTGTCAAGAAGAGGAAGTCATTCTTTCCAGCTAGCTTTGCTCCCTCCTGAGGAAAAACTAGGGAGGTGGGCTCTGTTGGTCAAGTCCGCTTGGGAAATACACACTCCATAACTGTCAGACCTGGACAGACAGCAGGAATGAGACCTCTCAGCCTGGCATGCAGCACATGTGGGGGTACAGGAGATCTCTAAGCATTAACAATTCAACCCTGAAAGAGGCACCAGCGGAGAAGGCCTTCCCAGGACATCCCAACCATTCCTCTCTACCTTTAGCTAGCCCACACCCACCTACTCACTCCCATGTGTAGGAGCCCGAGAGTTCTGGACACATGCTATAGACCTGTCATGTTTCCTCCAGGACCAAACTGTGCAAACTTTTGAGTCCCACTCAAAAGCCACTGCCTCCCACCATACACTGTGAGGAAAGGGCTTGGGAAGGGCAGCTCTCTCCTTGGGAGACATGAGGTGGGCAGGCAAGGGTGGTTGGTCCATTTTTCTGATTCAGAGGTCCCAGGCCACAGAACTTGGGGCTTCCCTGGGATGCAAGGCTCCTAATATCTCAGGGGAGGGAGTGGAAGAAGAACATCTACCCAGGGCCAGGTCTGGGACTGTAGGTAGTCCCAAGGCTCCTTATGCACAATTCTGATAGCTGCCCAAGTAGCCCCCATTAAACAGCTCTTGCCTCCAAGGGTCTGGAAGAAGGAATGCGGGAACCCAGGAAAATTCAAATGCCCACCCTCCCCAAAAAAAAAAAAAAAACCCAGGCTAACCCTCCTGTTCTCTAACAGCTCAGCCTGAATTCTGAACCTACCAGGTGACTTGGACCCTCTTTCTATTGTCATTGCTGCACCTGCCCCCCCATCTCCCAGTCCCTGAACCCCACAAGATGGCCCCAAGATAAAGGGGTGAGCATTGGACAGTGGCCCCCAGAGCCTGTGCAGAAACAATGACCACCCCCCCCCAGTTCTCATTCCAGAGGGCCCTCAGATCTTCCAGGGACAGCAAGAAGTCCAGGAGGAGGCCAACTGCACAGGGCAATCCCCACATCTGGACTCCCTGCCCCGCCCAGTCCCAGCAGCCCACTCCAAGGACCTCTCTCTCCCCCAGAGCTGGCATAGCCATTATGTGCCTCCTAGGCCTTGCCGGCTGCCTGCCACGCCCCCATGTTAGCCCCTGTTCTAGCGGCAAAGCCAGAAAGGCCTGGCCGCCAAGCCTGGCTGTCAAAGTTGGGAAACTGGAAACAGAAATAAATCCTCTAAGCTGCTCCTCCGTTGAGAAGGTGGCTGTTGGCAGGCCACAGCACACAACACCCTTATCACAGGCCACCAAACTGCCACTGGTACCCCATTCGTGCACACACTGACACTGGGATTATACAAAAGGGGGATCAGGAGGCAGAGCCCAGGAGACAATTGGACTGGCCAGCCCTAACCCTCCCTGCAGGTTGGACTGGGGGTCAGTGCGGTGCCCCCACTCCCTAGCCCAGTCCCGACCATCTCGGGCTTCCTCTCTCAACCCCATCTCCATGACAACCGCATCCTTTGGATGCCGCGGAATTGATCTCGAAACGTAGCTTTGTTAGCAGACCCTAGCGGGCATAGAGGGCGGAGGGCGGCTCCCGCCACCCAGCGTGCATCCCTCTCCTTATCCCCCAGGCTCTCCTCCCAGTCCCCAGACTGGCCTCGAGAAGGGAGGGGCGGGGTCCCGGAGCACGCGGGCCCTGGGGACATAGTGGCCCCGCGGCCCCACTCACCACTCCTGGTCCCAGCCGCTGGGTCCAGCCTCTCACGGTGGGGCCATGCGGAGGCCCCCACTGGACTGGCCGTCCCGCTCCGCCGCTGCCTGTTGGAGCTCCCCGAGCCCGCTTCTGTCCCTTCAGGTGTTGGAACAGCGGCTGTAGGGAAGCTGAGCAGAGGTGGGGGGACGGACGGCAGGAGGGAGGGAACCAAGGAGAGAAGGAGGGAGGAAGGGAGGGAGGGAGGAGCGGGAAGGGCGGGGAAGGGCGGGGAGACTGCGGGCGGGAGCGGAGCGGGAGGTGACAACGGCCACCCGGCTGGCCCGCCCGCGATGCTTGGGCACCGAGCGCTCAACCTTGTGCACCCTGGCCCAGAAGGACGCGGCCAACCCAGTCCCGCACCCCCAGCGCTGGGCCCTTTAAGAAAGTGGGGGAAGGGAGCGCCGCGAGGTTCCGCCCCCTCCTAGCCCCACCGGGCCCTCTGTCCCCAACCCTAGGCCAGATCCAACCACAATGCCCTCAGCAGGGGGACTGAGCCTGCATAACCCGACCGGCTCTCCTTCAGATAGGGGAGGGGGTTCTTTCCATTCTCCAGCAGCCTGACTTCTGCCCCCACTCCACCCCCAAACACTCTCACCCTGATACCCCCGACAAGGAGGGAGTGGGGAATGCAGGAAAGCAAGGTGCAGGATCCCAGGAGGGAGACACAGAGATCCAGACAGACCTAGGAGTGACAAGGACAGTTGGGCACTGGAGGTTGGGGGGAGAGCAGAAGAGAACAGGGAGAGAGACAAAGGAGACCCTGAGGGAGGTGAAAGGTGAGGAGTGAGTCCAACCAAGGATGGAAGTCCTGGTGCCAGGTTGGGGCTACCCTAGGCAGATAGAGGCCATAGAGACAGAGTTCAAACAGGGCTGTGGAAACCAGCAAACAAGGCACCTACCCTACCTCTCTTCCATGATTAGTCATGACCTTGAAGCCCTCCCCTCACTCCAGGACTCTAGCTCCCAAGAAGAAGGTTGACCGGACTGTGCCTGGGCTAGACACTAAGAAGAACTTACTGCAGAGCCTCTGGGAGAGGTGCTAAAGGGCACTGTAACCACAGGGAACTAAGGGAGCTAAGGGGACCAGGGTGTGCGGGCCTAGAGCGGAAAGCAGATTAGAGTCAAGCCCTGCCACAGGAAGCCACTGTCCACCTCTCTCCTTCCATTCTAGCCCCCTGCGCCTGTTCACCACACCCAGCACCCTCCACCTTTGCAGTTGTTCCACCCTCTGCCTGGGTGCACCCTGACCCTGCTGTGTTCAGTCAACTCCTACTCAACCATCAAATTCCTGCTTAAAAATGCCCCTTCTTCCATGAAGTCTTCTCTGATCTTCTACACACACACACAATTGGAGATTCCTTTCTTAGGGGACACAGAGAAGATCTGCTGACCTATGAGGGATGTCTGACCTATTCAAGGTGTCTGAATTGCAATTAATCTCCCCCTCCTCGTACTAGAGCTTGGGTTTCATCAACCATGGTGATACCTCTGATACTGTGCATCTGCCATGTGCCAGAATCCACACTAAGTTCTTTCTCTGTGTCATAGTTGACCCTCAAAACCATCCTACAACCCATTTTACTAATGAGAAAACTGAGGGTCCATGAGCATAAGTTCAGGAGGTCTGAACCAGTGGACACTTAGACCATAGCCCCCTCACTGCCCATCAAGCCCCCAACCATTCCATAGACCCCAGAAACAAGGTGGGGGGGCACTCTGGGTAGGTTCCCAGAGTTTTCTTGAGGGGGAAAGGGGACCTGGCAACAGGAAGAGGCTTTGGAGGAAGCAGGGGTAATGGGGTTTTTATTCCACACTCACCCTTGGAGTCATGACCTCAGGCTACAGCTGGAACATCTTTGTGAGTTTCTATCCCTTCATCTGGCAGGTGAAGATGATAACAGACCTCATGGGGCTGAAGTGGGGACAAAAGCAGTTGGTATGCTCAGTGACCACTATGCATGACCTGGCACATAGATGCACTCTGGGACACGGCTATCCAGTCATATTGATGCCTTGCTCATGGAGGAGTGCTTTACTTTCTTCCACCAATGAACTGAGCTCTGAAGGACTGCCTTGTTCACAACTCACCTCAGCACCAATCACATGGTAAGTTACAGGGGAGAGACAGAAGGAAGACACAGACACAGACAGAGAAAGGCACACGGAGCTCTCACCAGATCCCGTCTCTGCTCCTGTGTTGCAGAAGTCAGGAGACCCCAGTTTGGTCTGGTATCTGAGTTTACTGGCTATGTGGCTGAGGGACAGCTGTGCCATCCCCTGAGCCTTACCTTCCCTCTGTCTCATGGTACTGACTCATAGGACTGTCTTGAGGCTCAGTGGCACCTCATGGGCACAGGAGGAGGGATACTGTGATCATTCCTTGTCACTACTCCTGCCCCTTGAAAGACAGCAGGACTAGCATCTCTACCCATCAGCCACATGTGTCACACTCCCCAGTGCCCTCCATGGAAAGAAAAGCCTGCAGTTGTACCTGCTCCTCCAAGTGACCTCGCTCTCCTCCCCACTCACCTGAAAGGTCTCAGGAAGCAAGTGCTGGAGGCTAGACCAAAGACCCACACACACTGAGGGCCTCCCACCATGACTTATTGACTGGTCCATGGGATCCTGGAAAGAGCACACAGAGATGGGGACAGCTGTGTTGTGATGCGTCAGCACTCCTAAGCAGGGGCAGGTCACAGTTCTACCACAGCCTCTATCTGGCCTTCTGCTTCCCCAGACCACAGCAGGGTCTCCTGTTCTTCCTTGGCCTGAGCTGAATTCAGGGGAAAGACGCCAGAGCCTGAAACCCTCCAACTGTAGGAGCTCACTAGGGTTCAACCCTGGGCCCAGAGGAGGCTTGTCCCAGAAATCTCTGAAATAACCCAATCCTTCCACTTCCCTGATGGGAGGCTCAGATTCTGGAGGGAAGTCTGGGTAAGGATTCCCTAGGCCAATTCAAGTGCTCACAGAGCACCTGCTGGGTGCAGCCTTGCTCTAAGCCCCGCCCTAAGCCCCATCCACACAGAAAGGCTCTACTCCACCTGTCCAATGGCCTCTCTAGATGCTTCTACCTCAAATTTGAAGTTCTAGGGCCCCTCCTACCCTCGACCCCCAGCCATGTCCAATGACCCCACTTGCTTCTCTTGGTTCCCCGCATGGGAAGCCGTCCCTCAGTCCACCCTCGTGTGGCCAGTGCTTCCTGCCTCTCCCGCTAATGCCCCATTGCTCATTCCACTTCCCCATTGAGCTGTCCACGCCAGCTCTTTCCAATTCCTCTCTCCTGAAGGAACACCAGTTCAGTTCTTGTCCCCCTGCACACACACACTTCATGACCCCACCCATCAAAATCCCTAACACAGCTGCTGAGTACAGATGTGCAGGCTGGGCACTGCTCAGTGGCTTTGGGAGTCCACAGAGGGTGGAGAGGAACTGTAATCACCTGTTCTCTCACTGTGCTGTGCGCCTGGAGCAAGGCTGCCCATGCCTGGGAGGGCAGCATCAAGTTTGCTGCCCCTCTGTGTGCCTGCCTAGCCAGGTCCACCTGGAATGGCCACTGTTTTCTAACATTTGTACAAAAGTGCTGGGTGGGCTGACTGTGGCCTGATCTCAGGAATGCACACAACACCAAATCCAAAAGCCGATTTGCAGACCTCGTCTTCATGTCCCGGAAGCATTTAACAGGGATTGGTCATCCTGACTTGGGGACTCCTTACTGCCATGTGGTGCCTCCTCCCCTCCCTGACCTACAAACTTCACCAGAAGTGCTTTAGGGCTCCTCCACCCCACTCTCCCTGGCAGGACCACCCCAGCTTCAAAGCCCAGCTGCACCTGAAGAGTCTCAGCAAGTGCTTCTCCAGCCTTGACCTCCTCCCAGCTCAGACCCAGATACCAAAGTGCAGACTGAGGTCCCCACCCTAACCCAAGCCAACAGGACCTCATTCTGTTTTCCCCAGTAGATGTCACCAGGCCAAACCTGGAACTCATCATTGCCTCCCCTCTTCTCACAGCCACATCTAATCCCTAGATGAATTCTGAGAGACTGACATTCCACCAATGTCACAAACTGACCACTTCTCAACAGCTCTACTGCCACCATCTGGCCCAGCCCAGCTCCCTGCCAGCACCCCATCTCTGTGTTCAATTCCTAGCAGTTCCACATAAGCCAAGTATGTCCTGGGAATGGAAGCAGATTCTCACATTCATCTGCTCAAAGTCTTTGAAAGGCTCAGTGTTGTTCAGTCACACCTTCCAACTTCAAGGCCTTTGTCTGTAATGTTTCCTCTGCCTGCAGCCCTCCGCCCCTGGGTATTTGTATGGCCCACCCCTCACTCCCTCAGATCTCTGTTCTAACACTCCTCACCCCCTCTCTGCTTTCTTTTCCTCCATAACATATGTGTCTATATTCCAAGTTTACTTGCTTATTCTGGTCATCTGTCTCAACACTACCACCACTACCACCCTCCTGGACCATAAGCTCCATGAGGGTGCAAATTGTGTTCTTTCACTTCTGTATCACCAGGGGCTAGAAAGGAGCCTGGCACAGAAGAGGCATTCCCATAAGGAACCCATCAGCAGATACAGAAGGAAGGTTAGGGTGGGGGTGTGCTCGACTAGTAGAGTGCCTACCCCCCAGTACTATCAAAAATAAATAAATAAACCAACAAAAAATCAGGAGTGTAGCAGCACCTGGCCAGAAGGGTGAGGGCTCCTCCCACTGGTGGTCAGGGGAGGCCTCTCTCAGGAGGTGTTCCCAGACTGGACAGGCACCCCTCCAGGCTCACAGGGTGCCATGGCTTCCCCCATCACAGCACTTAACACACCAAGGACCCCTCTTACTTCTCTGAGTCCCCAGATCTGTCTTGAGCCCAGGGCCAGCGTACAGCAGGCACCGGAAAGTGGATAAGCAAACAGTGAATGATGAAGAGGCCATGGACAAATCTCCACAGGACCAGGAGGGAAAGCTTGTGTCAAGAGCCTATGGGGTGAGGCTAGGAGCCTCAGGTCTTCTGTCAGTGGGGACATGACTCCTGCATCAGCTAGGAGGAAAAGAAGACCATTCCCACTGAGCAGTCCTTGACCATGAGAGCTAGCCAGCATGAAGTGGGAGACAGTCCCCTGGAGGAAAGCTAGGCCA